TGATAGAGTTCGTAACGAAGACATCCGCAGTAGAACTAAGGTGACCGACATAGCCTCAGAGGATTAGCAAGCTGAAGTGGCGATGGGCCGGCCATATAGCTCGTAGAACCGATAACCGTTGGGGAAGAAAGGTTCTCGAGTGGCAGCCTCGTACTGGCCATCGCAGTTTGGGATGACCCCCCACTAGATGGAGTGACGACCTGTGCAAATGTGCGGGAAGTCGATGGATGCAGGTGGCTCAGGATCGTACTTCGTGGCAGTCTATGGGGGAGGCCTATGTTCAGCAGTGGACTCAAACAGGCTGAAATGATGATGATGATGATGATCCCTGTTTTTAGGGAATGAAAAATATCATTCGAATATGACTTTAAATTTCGCCGCAAAAAAAAAAAATGTTATAACAGCTCGGTCGGTAATCGGGCGGCCCCAAAACAGACGGCCGTGGTTCGTATCATGATCATTTACACACTTATTTTTTTACTTTTTTTTCGATTCCAGATCATTGCTTTCTTTATCTGTAATTTTTTATTTTGTTATTTTTTCCCTTTTTTTAAATTCTTTCTTTTGTGAAAATTACCGTCTCGTTTGCCACCTCACATATCCGGCCAAGTGCGAGTCGGACTAGCGCACTAAGGGTTCCGTACCATTATCTATAAAAAGGCAAAAAAAATCCTGTCTGCTGTATGGGAACGCCAATTAAATATTTTTAATATTGGTTACTTAGTATTTGTTGCTACAGCGGCAATAGAAATGCATTATCTGTGAAAATTTCAACTGTCTATCACTGTTCATGAGATACAGACAGACAGCGAAGTAATAGGGTCCCGTTTTACCCTTTGGGTACGGAACCCTAAAAAGCAACGGTAGACAGCGTTTTTAAACCAGCGTTGGCTCAATTTACATGACACCGAGGGTCGAGCCATCGGGAATCGAACCAGAATTACTTTAAAGCGATCCGTGAAGCCATCCATTTGGCGAGAGTGGCTAAGACCACTCGAGACCTCCGAAGTTGGCTGCGGGCTCACTCGACCCAGATGCGCCGGCCAATAGCTTTTAAGGTCAGGGTCGAAGCGGGCGGAGGTCGAAATTAAATAATGTGAGAATATAGCGGAGGGAGACGGCTGATACGCGTTTAGAGACCGATGAGGTAGTGAACAAGTAGAATATAATTTAAAAAACTAAAGGACCCGACTGCGTTTCTGTGTAATTTTCTGTTTTGATATACTCAGTGTCACTTTTACGGTGGTAGGGCAACACAGCGGCTTCGGCTGTTGCACGAATGGACAGGCCCGTCCGGGTAAGTACCAAGACCTCACAGAAGACCAGCGTAAAGTGAAAGTATGACAAATACTTTCGCGTTTCGTCTGGTGAGTGGGGTAGCCGGAGCCCAATTTTCAAAAGGTTGTCAACGCATCTGTAACCCTCGGGTGTGGCAGATGTCCATGGGCGGTAGTATTCACTTAACATTAGGTGAACCGTCTGCTCGTTTGACAACTTTTCGCATAAAAATACTCTCACAGTAAATACGAATCTAACGACACCTCTCAAGCTAAAATTCATCAAGCCGTTCAAGCTGCAGAGCGTACCAAACAATTATACATACATACATACATACTCACAAAAAACATAACCCTCCTTCTGGCGCAATCGGGTAAAACAAGCTTGCATGTTTTTACCCGACTGCGCCAGAAGCCTGATTTTGAGTGGATTTTTGTAACAACTAGGCTTTTGTAATAATTGACCTTACCACGTCTTATCTATAACATATATAATTTATATTGTATATAATGGGGTTTAATCTCTCTCTCTCTCTCTCTCAATGTTAATGGGGTTTAATAAGGTAATATTTAAAAAAAAATTGACACCTGGTAAGATTGAGTTGCCATTTGGCGTGGCCAGTCAATGTTTCGTGAGCTAGATGAAATTTTATATATTCTAAGGACTGTAAGCGCGAACAGTAATAAAAAAGCTAGTTATGTCAAATAAAAAGTGCGTGAACGTGGCTTTGGGGAAGTATGGGAAGGTGAGTACCAATATAATTAAAGTAAATTATAAATAAATTAGCCTTTTGCCCGCGGCTTCGCTCGCGTTGAAGCCCTTAAATAAATATCTATCCCCTTTAAGAACCCATTATATCCCTTTTTCCGATTAAAAATAGCCTATGTCCTTTCTCAGGTACTAGACTATCTGTGTACCAAATTTCATTTAGATCGGTTCAGTAGTTTTGGCGTGAAAGCGAGACAGACAGACTGAGTTACTTTCGCATTTATAATATTAGTATGGAAGTATATCCATACCTACCACCTACCTACCATCTACCTACCTACCATCCGGTAGGGTGATGACTCAGTGGCCCCGTTGCTAAGCTATTGCTAAGCTATTTTATTTGGTCGTGGGTTCGATTCTCACACGGGACAAGTATTTATATGACCTAGAGATAATGGTTGACGTCAGGCAGACGGCAACCGGCCAAGTGCGAGTCGGACACGCGCATGAAGGGTTCCGTACCATTATTTATAAAAAACACAAAAATATCATGCTTGTTGTATCGGAGCCCCACTGGATTACTTTTTTTTGCTTTTTAGTATTTTTAGTTACAGCGGTGACAGAAATACAAGGTCTGTGAAAATATCAACTGTCTTAACTCAGTTCATGAGATACAGCCTGTTGACAGACATACTGACAGACATACAAACAGCTTTTCTTTTCAAAGTCAATGGTGATTCTATTATAAATGTTGCTCCAACTAAATAACTAAAATTCACTCTGTGACTCACATTATTATTTATATATTGATCGTTCAAGCGGAAAAATCGAAGTCGGGTTAGATATTCCCCGTCACAGTCTACAAAATATGAATATTGAATAGTTGACTATAGTACATTTAGCATAAGTATGCTAAATGTACTATACTCTGTGACAAATAAGTACATAAGTATGTACTTATTTGTCACAGAATGAATCACATTTATTTTAAGGTCAATTAGGTCATCATTTTATTTTTACTAGTGGACGCCGAGTGAATTTAAACTTACTATAAGTTTGAACAATATTAATCTATTCTCAAATACAATACACGATAAACAAAGGAGCGTATATGCGTGTGTGTTTCAAATACATGGTAGTGTGTGTAATGTTTTCTATATTGATTTAACGTATTTTTTATGCATAATTAAAATAAAATTCTGTACTCTCTTAATAAACTTAAGTGTGGAAAATTTCATAATCCTTTTAAATTTTGACTTCACGTATTAAATAGATAATTCGACTTGATATATTATATCGTCGAACATTTTCATTAAAAATGAGCTTTTGAGGGAAGTAGGGGATTATTCCCACTACAAGTGTCTATGAAAACTTACTGGGAAAAAACTTATTCGGCAACAAATTGTATCAAAGATTATGGAAATAAATGAATTTTTATTTATTTTTTCATTTAAGCTTTTTGAACAAAATATCAATCAAATAAGAGTGCTATTCCAATGCAGCGATATTGGAAATTGTTAATCAGATTTTTAAAATGGAAAAATCCGACTGCACCCCATTTTCCGAAACGTCAGACATTTTGAAATTCGCCCGTCAAATTTATCTCCTCTTTCGGTTCTGAACAATGGACATTGAAAAAAAAAAATAACGAATGCATTCTTTCGAAACAAGTCAAATCGAACCTTATGGCCTTGACATAAGGTTCAAAATTCAATTAAATCGCCACCACGCCTTTGTAACCGCGCAAATCGGAGCGTGCGATGCAATTTGTACTTTGTTGCGAGGCAGCAAGGTTCAATATCGATGCGCGATGGTGTTGTTCCTTTGTTTTTGCACACACCGATCCAGCTCGTATGTAAATCCTAATTAGTCTAAATGCACGGCATATGTACCGCCTGCTCCGGGTAGATTTGCAAGGGCGGCTCAAAAATGGCGGACTTAGCAAACTGCAAACACACAACACACTGTTTCGAACGATTTAGTTTTAACTGTGGTAAGGCCACGCAGCAGTTCTGGCTGTTGCACGAATGGGCAGGTCCCTCCGGGTGCCACGACCTCGGCAGACCGGCGTGAAGTAGAAGTGTTAGATTTCTGCGTTTCGCCTGGTGAGTGCGGTAGCCGGGGCCCACTTTATTGAAGTGGCAACACATCTGCAACACTACGTATGTAGTACAACACCTTATATGCGTAATTGTGGGCGGCGGTTATCACTTGACAGCAGATGAACCGCCAACTCGCTTGCCATATTTTCATATAAAAAAGTCTACGAACGAAGGTACTCGCTACTGTGTCAAGGAATCTTTTGGTGTTGGACGAATGTTGTGCCAATGGGGTCATTCACCTGACACCCCCATTCATGGTCTTTACATGGACTCCTAAGACCTTAGACGACTTAATGATGGCTACCGTCAATTTTGGAATTTAAAATTTTGTGTCCTATCTAAGCAAAAAAAAATGTCTAAGTTAGAAGCCAAGCTAAGTCGTGAGTTAAATTTAACGCGAATAAAACCTTAATTATAATTTCATTTCTTAACGTTTTACTTTATTTCAATTACATTAAGATTTAATTCGGAAATTTCAATATTAAAAGATAAAGAAGCAAACTGAAAAGCCCTATAAAAGACCTTGTTAGCTTACATTTAACATAATTAATTGTGCAATTTAAGTGTTTCTCATAAATCTTTCGGTGTAACGTAATGTTGGCAGTCTTCATATATGTAATAGCTTTCTTTTTGTTTTTTTTTTTAATGTGAAAAGTTGCCAACGAGCAGACGGTTCACCTGATGGTGAGTGAATACCGCCGCACATCTGCTACACCCGAGGGTTACAGATGCGTTGACAACCTTTTGAAAATTGGGCTCCGGCTACTTCACTCACCAGGCGAAACGCGAAAGTGTTTGTCATACTTCGAGTGTGGCCCCAACACACTTGTGACTATATAGGCGATGGTTAAGATGGTAGATTATGTTGGGACTACGGGTTCGTGCTTTCAGACAGATTGCTTATAGACTCACCTGGTAGAATATCCTGTACTCTGTGTCAGTCAGCCTGAGGGCAACCTCCTCGGGGAAGTGGAGGAGCGCCCTCAAAGAAGCCAGTTCCTCATAGCTGCCGTCCTCGGAGTATGATGACCCTGCGAGGTATGATTCAGTTGTTTATATGTTTTTCACTCTTTTTAGGGTTCCGTACCCAAAGGGTGAAACGGGACCCTGTCACTAAGACTCCGCTGTCTGACTCCCTGTCACTAAGACACCAGGCTCTACTTCGTGTACCGTGATAGTTAGACAGTTGAAACAGGTCCTGTCTGTTGTATTTCACCCTTTTTTTTTGCCGTTTTTAGGGTTCCATACCCAAAGGTTAAAACGGGACCCTATTGCTAAGACTCCGATGTCTGTCTGTCTGCCGGGCTGTCACCCGCCTGTATCCCATGAACCGCGATGGTAAGACACTTGAAAATTTCACAGATAATGTGTTTCTGTTGCCGCTATAACAAACACGAAAAAACAGAATAAAAAAATATTTAAGTGGGGCTCCCATACAAAAGACATAATTTTTTCCCCGCTTTTATAGATAATTTTATTTGATAAAAAGAGATGTTGATCTTGACGACTCCGTGGCACAGTTGCGAAAGTATTGGCTTCGGCGCTGGGTGTCGCGGGTTCGATTTCCGCATGGGTCAAATACGTGGGTACTCCCAAAGTACACACATATTTGTTACAAATGTGTGGGTAAATATTATTGTTTAGGATCTGTATGTATTGTCTCTAAGTACTAAGTGCTTAGTGCAATATTTTTCAAAGTCAAAAAAAGTCAAAATGTCTTTATTCAACATAGGCTTATTTTAAGCTCTTATTGAACGTCAAAAACTACCACCGGTTAACTACACTAGACCTGCAATAGAAGAACCGGCAAGAAACTCTGCGGTCATATACGTACTTTTTTTTTAAACTTTTTAAGTATATACACAAAATTACTTTAGTATAATATGGCAGGAGCCAGGGGACTTACAAGTACAGACCAAGAGTCATTTCCACACATCTTTGTCCTTAATATTGTATTCCTCGACATTATAATAGGCCGTTTCCATTAACGTGGCTTTTACAAAATGTTTGAAATTATTTTACACTTAATTGTTTGTGGATGTCACCTATTGCATTATATGAGTTAACACATCTACGAAGAAACGATTTCCCGTTTAATACCTTGATGACTTAAAACGGTCACAATTTGTTTTCACTTTTTTAAAAGTAAAGTGAATATTTTCTAATTGTTTGGTTCTATTATGTTTCCGTACATAGAGCTGAACGTATAATATTTGAATAATATTGTTGATTTAATAACCACTTTTTACCAACGAAAAACAAAACTGACTTCAAATATATCGCTCAGCATTCATTTTATAATTGACTTTCAGAAGCTCCCTAACTATCTCCGGAGCCCAAGATCCAATACCAATGAAATTAATATAGGACCACATGGGAAGCACCAGCTTTCAAATAAAAAAGAATCATCAATTTTACGGTGGTAGGGCCACGCAGCAGCCTCGGCTGTTGCACGAAGGGGCAGGCCCGTCCGGGTAAGTACCACGACCTCACAGAAGACAGGCGTAAAGTGGAAGTATGACAAAAACTTTCGCGTTTCGTCTGGTGAGTGAGGTAGCCGGGGCCCAATTTTCGAAAGGTTGGCAGCGCATCTGTAACCCTCGGGTGTGGCAGATGTCCACGGGCGGCGGTATTCACTTAACATCAGGTGACCCGTCTGTTCGTTTGGCAACTTTTCGCATAAAAAAACAATTTCACTCAGTCAAAAGTTCTGAGGTAACAAACATTAAAAAAAATACAGTCGAATTGAGAACCCTCCTCTTTTTGAAGTCGGTTAAAACTGCTTAGCTGGTTCCTAAGCGCAAATAATTTGGTGGAATAAGCTAAAGATAGTATTAGGATAGCTTTGTTTTATGATTATAACACAGTGGAAATACGAGTCTAGACACGTCTCTCCCTACGAACCGAATCTCTACGGAGAGACAGTTGACCTAGAACTGTCAGCAGACCTCCCGTGTTTGAATAATCATGTTCTATTTAAGGTATACCCGAATAAAATGAACAGTTTATTAGGTAGTACCTGTTTTTTTTTGGTAAGTCTTGTATTTTGGAAATTATATTTAGATACAAATTACTGAGTAATGAAATATGCATAATATTTTTCGATGTTACCGACGTAATAATAAGAATGTTTTTCACAAAAGAAATAAATTTAAAAAAAAAAAAACGGAAGAAAATAACAAAATAACAAATCGACAAAAAATTTAAAATAAAGAAAGCAATGATCTGGAATCGAAAAAAAAGTAACAAAAATAAGTGTGTAAATGATCGTGACACGAACCACGGCCTTCTGTTTCGGGGCCGCCCGATTACCGACCGAGCTATTAGAAGATTATTTTTTTTTCGGTGATTTACCGTCGTATGCGAATGATATTTTTCATTCTCTGAAAACTGGGATAAAAAGATATTTTCTAAAAATGAAACCTAGCCAGACCAGTTTTTCGCTCCCGAATCTACCTACGCACATACTAAATTTCATGAAAATGTCTGGAGCCGTTTCCGAGATTCCGATTATTTATATATATATATACAAGAATTGCTCGTTTAAAGGATAAGATATTTAGATATTCGACATAAAAATCGGCCAAGTGCGAGTCGGAATCGCGCACGTTCCGTAACATTATCTATAAAAACTTGACAAACAATCATGTCTGCTGTGTAGGAGCCCTACTTAAATAATTTTTTTCGGCTTTTTAGTATTTGTTGTGATAGCGGCAACAGAAATATGTCATCTGTGAAAATTCCAACTGTCTAACGTCTAACCATCACGGTTCACGAGAAGGCCTGGTGACCGACGGAAAGACAGCGGAGTCTGAGTAATAGGGTCCCGTTTATACTTTTGGGTACGGAACCCTATAAATGTGCCAAAGAGTTACTGATTTGTAGAGCAGGCCTTACGCGTAGGAGTATAAGAATTAATTTATTGGCTCAATTTGATTCTCAGATTCTTACTCTCCATCTTGATCTCTAGCAAATCACTGTCAAAATAGCAATAACAATAACCGTTAATTAATTGTTATCTTCAATTTTAAGTATGGCAGGACCACGCAGTAGCTTCTGCTGTAGTCAAACCCTTGTTTCGAAAGACTGGTGTGAAGTGGCAGTGGTATACTTTCGCAGTTCTTCTGGTGATTTTTTTTATGTAAGGAGATGGCAGGCGAGCTGGCGGTTCACCTGATGGTAAGTGAATACCGCCGCCCATGGACATCTACACCTAAGGGTTACAGATACCTTTTGAAAATTGGGCTCCGGCCACCTCACTCACCAGACGAAACGCGAAAGTGTTATACTTCCACTTTACGCCGGTCTTCTGTGAGGTCGTGGCATCGTGCAACAGCCGAGGCTGCTGCGTGGCCCTACCACCGTTAAACCTGATGTTAAGTGATAGCTGCCGCCCATTGGCATTTGTGGCACGCGTATGATTGCAAATGCGTCGCCACCTTTTTATAAAGAGGGCCCCCGCTACCTCAGTTACCCGACAAAACGCAGAAGTATATATAAAACTTCCACCTCACGCCGGTCTTCTGCGAGGGGGTCATATCTTTTAAAGCATAATGCATCTACAGCCCAACAGGATCGTAGCAGCACACTCGTAGATGTCAAAGGGAGGCGGTCACGTCCTTTTTTTTTAAACATTGCCCGTACTTTAGGATAACATTATCCTGTGTTGTAAGGACGTTTTACAGACATACATTTCACGCGGACAAACACCCAGATGCGAAACAACTATCTGTAGGTCACACAAATAGTTGTCCCGTGTGGGAATTGAACCCACGACCCGCGACGCCGAAGCCATTACCTTGGCCACTGCGCCACGGAGTCACCAAACGTGCTATTTTTTCTTTGAAAAAAAATCCTACCGATTTTAGTAGTTTTTACTTACCCTCCATATTTTTGAAACTTAAGGCTACTAAACGAACGGTTCATTAATATTATCATTCATAGAGTCATTTTATAAAAAGAATATTTATAGTGGTGGAAATGGACATCTAATTGCAGATAAAATTAGGTCTGAGCATTTTTTTTCTAGGTCATATAGGTGCTTGTTCCAAGAGAAAGTGAATGAATGAATGGAGGTGAAATATTGTAGCATTTAAGGGTCTACGCACGTCCTCGCCTACGAGGGCCTACGGCGAGGCCAATTTCAAGTGTAGTACGTCGGTTTATGTCTTCTCAACTTTACGACTGTCAATTCGTACTGTTATGTGGGTTAGAATTCACGGAGCTAAAATTCGCGTGATCCTTTAACATTAATCGTTCCGAGACAGAGATTTCATGTTTGTGAAATTTGCCATCGGGACATATTTTTACACAACGTTATCTATCTGAACGTGTTATGTAACTGAAAGACATACTTAAACATACTTTTCTTTTGTAAATAAATACATATTATTGTAACTAGCTGCTGCCCGCGACTACGTCTGCGTAGAATAGGCTGAAGGCGTAACATTCAGACGGAATAGAATAGAAGGCGTAACATTCAGATATACATAAAAATTTTATATAAATTATAGCCTATGTCTTATTCTGGTGTATACGTTATATTATTGTAAAGTTTCATTAAAATCCATTCAGTAATCATTGCGTGAAGAGTAACAAACATCCATCCATACATACAAACTTTCGCCTTTTTTAATCTAATATTAAGGTTATAAATTACTAAGGATATAAACAACCAGACACTATAAAAATGTGTGATGTGTTTAATAATACATATTTTTTTTAACACGTATTTTTTATCTTTGCAGTTTAATTGTACATGTGGCGTATTTGTACAATAAATGTTTTCTTTCTTTCTTTCTAAAAACACCGTAGTCGAACCCACACTGTCTTTCGCAAGTGACCTGTTCGCTATCAACTAAGCCAATTGGGTCATTATGCGCCTGCCTTTATTCTGCTTCGGTGAGGTAACATATAAATCATGTTCTAAGTGATATTGTTCACGTTTTTACGACCAGCCGCATACCTTTCGTCAACCTTTCTCGAGAAATCTCTTTTGACACAGCTGTTATCCATTCGGACTGAATTAACT